TGTGTGGAACTAAATTTGGCGCAAACTGCGCCCATCACATGTACGACCTCGATGTCGTGCCATACCAAAAAGTTGACCCCCGCCCCAGATGTTATCGCATTTTGGGATTTGAAGAAGGTTCATTGACCAATTTAGCAATTCATTGTTCCATTTTATAGGGGACAGGCCAGTATTGGAGATAGTCAACAATAAGGACCTGAAATCATTAATAATGCCGGATCTTGACGAAGTGATACAAGAAGGATCAGGCCTGCGAGTCGAAATTATCGACAACAAGGAGTTGGAGATATCAGCTTCTCAAGCTAATCAACTCATTGTTGCAGCAGGAGGTCTTCATTATGTACATATTCAACAGACCAAATCAAGCAGTGAGTTACGTTAAGCATGATGAGGAACTAAAGGCTATAATACTTCATTTCTAGAAATATTAACCTTCAAAATTATAATTTACATTATTCTCATAACAGTTTCCTTACTTGTCGGCCTTATTGTAATTTTCTTTGTCTTAAAGAGAAGAGTCTATTCTCCTATAGAACTACCTTCCGCACCTCTTCGACTGCCACATAGGTCCTGTAAAGTACTTAGAAAGATGTGTGCGGTGAGTGATAGTTGCCCATCAAATAGAAAGTCGAAAAGTGGTTGTATCATCAGGAGATTCTAACAAAAAACCCTATGGTTTGGCAAATTCAGGATAGGCCTCTAATATGGAGATATACGCGAGAGGATCCTCACCGTGCGTTTTCTTTCTTTTTCTAGGAAGCAGTAATCAAGCTTTTCATATGTTCATCTTAAAGCCTGCACCATTGCGGAAATCGATAACTGCACATTCAGGCGCATCAGTGTTAAGATTGGTCGCGCGCCATTCACAGTTTCTCAAGAAACATGGTGCACATCTTGCTGAGGTAATTTTTTGAAGAAAATTTGGACAATGTTGTAAGCCGAAGACGTATGACTCAGTATATATGATTCCAAGTAATCGCTATCACATGTACCGTTATTCGTTATTCCAAAATTAATCCAGAGCGCACAAGATCTAACTTGGACTGAAAGTTATT